CCGCAGGCTCATGGTCCCTGGTGGTTTCACTTTTGCTAGTCTGTCGTTCTCCATTTTTTTGCCTGCCATGTTTTTGGATTGTTTACTTTTCTAAAACTTGCTAAAGTCTCTGAAATTCAAACAATGGGCCTTATTCCTAGTCTACATATATATAAAAGAAAGTCCCCTCATCGTAAAATCAACGCCCAGGCCAAACCCCTGGACCTAGAAACACGAAATCCGGGGAGAGCACTCCTACCATGGTATAGATGCTCACTAAGAAGGGATTTTTAGAAATTCGACCCCTAAGGGGGTCAAAGGGGCAAAATGTGCTCCCCCCATTGCTTCTTATGTGGCTGCCAGGCTGCTGCCTCCTTGCACCCCCCACCCTCTGACTGGTGAGCTGCAGAGCTCAGTGTTCTGAGGTTTAAAAAACCCAGTTACAGGAGACTGCAGAAAGCTAATGACAGTTGAGGAAATCAGGAATGGCCAGCCACCTGTGAGGTGCAGCAATGCTGCTGCCCCATCCTCCCCATGGCTTCAAGCATAACCTCCACCTCCTACACCTGACAGGTGGCTGTCTGTCAGGTGCAGCAGTGGGTGCAGGATGCTTAAAGCCACCAGGGAGCCTGCCCCAGCAGTAACGTCTTAGTGATCCTGCCGGCCCAGCCTCCACAGTGGCATCTAATACTCATCCCCCTCCCCCTCCTACACTAGACAGGCAGCTGCCTGTCACGTGTAGGAGAGGAAGTGGGATGCTTACAGCTATCAGGGAGGTTTGCTCAGCAGGACTGCCTTAGGGCTGCTGCTGGCCCAGCCTCCCTGATGCCTTTAAACACAATCCCCCCATTACACCACACAGGCGGATGTCTGTGTAGTGTAGGAGGAGGGCCAGGGTACTTTAATCCATCAGGGATGCCACCCCAGCAGGATCACCTTAGCGATGCTGCTGGCCCAGCCTCACCAATGGCTTTAGCCACACTCTCACCCACTATGGAAATGTACCCCAAATTTGTAGAAAGGTGGTTTCCTTTATTAGGTTATTTAACTTCTCACAATGAAGGTTCTAGAAAATTGGTTCATATGAACTTGCTTAATATCTGATTGCTCAGGTGGTGTTTTGAATATGTAGTTATGTCCCACTTCTTAAATGTAACATAAATGAGAGGCAATTTTGTTAAAAGGGGGGGATGCCCCCCCAATTCAATGCCAGGCCAAAACACTGCACCAAGAAACCCAAAATAGGGGGAACGCATTCCTATCATGATGTCAATCCCCCCACAAATAGATTCCTGAGAAACACGACCTCCAAGGGGGTAAAAAAGGGGCAAAATGTGTTCTACCAATTGTCTTCCATGTGCCTGGCAGGCTGCTGCCTCCTTGCCCCCCCCCCCCCCCCCCCCGCCCACCGTCGCTGTTTCTGAGGTAAAACCTGCCTGTTTGCACCCACCTCCCTCTGATTGCTCAGCTGTGGATCTCAATGTTCTGAGGTAAAAACACAGTTAGAAGAGACTGCAGACAGTTGCGGACAGTTACAGAAATCAGCAATTCAAGACTCCTGAATGGCCATTTTTCAAAAAAGCCATCATGGCAATTGAGTTAATAAATGTTCATGGGGAGATACTAAAGGAACTTTCTAGGAGCCATTTTGATGCGTGCCTCCCTCATGAACCTGAAGAAATGTCCACCAAATCACCACTCCCTCATACCAACTCCCACTTCTCACCTCTTACTGCCCCCAAGAAAGCTCCTGGCAAACAAGCCAGATACACCAGCTACAAGGAGGAGGCTACTTAGGAATGTGGCAAAGACATTTGCACATAGTACTCCTGCAGTGCACTGAGCTGCACAGGCCAAGTACCAGCAAGATCACCCTGAGGTGCTCAGAACAACGCAGTCTCCATATGAGCAAAACAATCCAGGAACACAAGTAGAGAGGCCATAACTTTCATGGAAGGTACCAGGAGTTGACTTAACAGATGACGGCTTCTCACATGGACAGTTCTATGTGGCTTGCTGCAGAGTGGGCTCATCAAGCAGCCTGGTCATCCTAGCACCTGAGGGCAGAACCACCAATGTGGTCTAGAGAGAGGTGGGGGGGGGGTACCTATGTCTCACTTTATTTTTTTTACACTACAATCTTCTCCATTAGAATTCCTATAACAAATGTTACATTTCAAACTTCAAATAATGAGTATTATAACTGGATTTATGGAACATAAATACTGTAGCAAAGCATGGGTATCAGACTAGTAACAAATGAGTTCCACACCTCTGCCGTGGTAACCAATAGACCCCATGAGGTTTAAACAACCTAATAAGGAAGGCTGCAGGTTGGCCTAGCCAGAAGACAGTCGCAACGCAAGGCCTTTTGGGGGTTGTAGGCTTAATAAAGATTGTCTCTTCAGGCGCAAAAATGCTGTGGGCCGGCGTGTTGTAAGGTCACGCGGTTGGGAGGAGTCACTGTGGCTGCTCCTCTGGCGGAGATGGCGGGGGCCCTAGAGAAGAAGAAGCGGGTACGCTTCGCCCGCCTGGAAGAGGCTCGGGATGAGGAAGAGGAGGAGTTGGTTCGGGGCCCGAGCTCGGTTAGGGACGCCCTTCAGCCGGAGGTGATCGTGGCTGACAGGAGCGGCCGAAGAAGCCGGGCAGGAGGCGGTGGGCTGACCAAGGAGCAGCTCCAGGAAGTGGCGGCGGCGGCGGCTCCGGGGCGTGCGCTGAAGTGGTGCATTTCAGCGACTCTTTGTGCTGCTTTCCTAGGCCTGGTAAGGAGGCGGCAGGGTGACGCGCGTGTTTCTGCTTGCATACGTGAAAGGGCCCCCGGCTGCTGCCCCCTTGCGTCTTCCCGTTTTGCCCGCTGACATCCGCAGAGAGCAGCCGGGAGCTGCGAGCTGGCCCAATCGCCTTTTGGCTGGGAGCCGCTTCTTTCAAAAGCCTCGAGGTGAAGCGATTGACGGTCAGCAGGTGTGCTGCCCACTCCGCTCTCTTGATAGGAGAGAGCTACGGAACTTCTTTTCTCAAGTGGAAAATGGGCGCCTCTTCTAAAATACGAGGCTTTTTTTCCCGCCTCCCCCTCGCAAGATCAAATAATGATCAAGTGTAAGACTGAAACGATTTAAATGCACAGAAAAGAACCACGAGGTCGTGTGGCCTTCCTGCCCCTAAAGTGCTTGACCCTTGAGAACCTGCTCGAGCAGCCCTTCTCTCGAAATGTTGCATGGCGAACTGCTTTTGGATTAGAATAAATTTTGAGTCCAGTGGCACGTTTAAGACCAACAAAGGTTTATTCAAGGTATGTAAGCTTTTGTGTGCAGATTAATTGGCCTTGAAGATCACTTGGTCCTTCAGGGCAACTGGTTGGCCACTGTGTGAAATGGGGTGCTCTGGGAGATGGTCCACCAGTCTAATCCGACAGGGTTCTTCCTATGTCCTTTAAAAAAACCCCACCTGCTCAAGGAACCAAACAGTGACTCAAACGAACATTAGAGCTTGTGTACTGTGTACTCCATAAGTAATACTCAAATTGCTGCAGAAATGTAGAATGAAACCTTTAATCAGAGCATTTCCAATTTCTTTTTCTAAAGTGGATTTAAGTAGTGTATAGCAGAAGAAAAGGAATAGACTTTTCCTGGATCTAGACAAATGTAGTTTTTATTTAAAATATATATATTTATCATAATTAGGAAAAATGAAGAGATTCCTTGAGGTAAATAGAGATGTGGGGAGGGAGCAAGTTTTGTGAAAATATTTATTTACTGTTCCCCTCCCTTCCCGGATCTGCACCTACACTAAGTAATAGGACTTTAATTGTTTTTTCTAGTCAGTTTTGTCTTTGTTAGAGTATAATCCCATACTGTCCTGCTTATTTCAATAGGAGTTGCTTTCAGTTAAGTGCTAGGATTATAAGAGGTGTACATTGACTGCTGAGCTGTAGCTTGTTTCTTCAAGTCTTTGTTAATAGTGATAGGTAAGTTTGATTTACCATAAATTGTAGTTTTGTTTTCCAGGGTATGGCCATTGCTGTCCTAGGGCCTACGTTTCAAGATCTGGCTACAAACGTAAACAGAAGTGTTAGTCAAATATCCTACATCTTTGTGGGCCGCTCAGCGGGCTATTTTGGTGGTTCTCTGATTGGAGGGATACTTTTTGACTATATGAATGCTCAGCTTCTCTTGGGTAAGTACACAGGAATGCACATGCCTCTTATACATGGGGATCCTGAATAGCTAGGGCTATACTTATGCTTTTGGAAGCCAGCTTCATTGCATCCCTAGCTGGGATGCAAATGGGTGTTCTCTTAGAGAATGCCCTACATGCAGCCTGGTAAACAAAGCTGCAACGTTGCCAATAATCTGTTCTGAAGAGGAAAAGGAGGCCGGTGCTGGATTTGGTTCCCCTCTCCTACATATGTGTATCCATTAAAGGGTAAAGGATGTCTTTTACAGTTTGCCAGTAATTCTATATTCCTTGACGAAAATTAAAAAGTTTAAATTGTATAGCACCAGAACAGATGTTACACAGTACATAACATACAGTGCGTTAGACTTAGAAAAGTGGAACTACTAAGGCAATGATACAGAAAGTAATGTGAGTAAGGGAACCATAATATTTAATGAGGCATATTTTTTTCATTTTTCTCCTCAATTCTCAGGTCTTTATAAAACAAGTTTCCTTTTCTAAGATTCCTTCTTAATGTGTAGTTGATACAGAACATTTCTGCTTAAGACTTTTATGTATTAAAACAGCTTTACTTAAACTTAGCTGTGGTCTAAACTGTTATGTTTAATTTTCTTCTTGTGGGCTGGGGCTTTTTGGCTGTCCTTCCACTAGCAGCTCTCTGCACATACTGTGAAGATCAGGGTGACTCCTTAGGGTAGCATGGGTGGCTACTGCCAGAAAGACGGACACACCCCTCCATGTGTAAGTGCTTTCCAGTTGCACATAGAGAGGCTTTAGTCATGGTCATTGTAGGTTTATGGTGTCAAATATACAAACAAAAGCAACATTTTGTGTAGTTTTGTCGTGTTAGTGGCAAGGTTGTTTATTTGTATACTGCCTTTAAACTAAAAGTTCCTGAAGTGATTGACAACACATTAAATTCAATATAATTAATACAAAACCATTTAGAGACAGTAAAAATTCAGTTAAAAACAGCATAATCAATAAAACTGAAATCCATAAAATCCATAAAATACAATATTCTAATACTGACACTCCACCTGCATAAATGGTCATAAATCCACTTGCAACTTATGGCATTTCTGGTGTAGTGGTTAGGATGTTAGACTAGGAACCCAAATAGCTGGGTCCAAACTCCTGTGGAATCGTGATGCATACTGGGTAATTTGGATCAATTGTTCTGTGTCAGCCTGATCTGCTTCCCATGTCTGTTGTGTTGTGAGGCTAAACTGGGGAAGGGGAGAAGGCTGCCCATATGCAGGAGTGGCAGGGTAAAACATGATGAAAAGCATAAAGTTGTGTTAGAAGTTAAAAATGAGACTTTGTGGGGGTTTTATTTTAAATATGCAATGCTCAACTTTTGTGGATTTTTCCCCTCTTAAACTTTTTCTGCTTTGTAGGATTGTCTATGCTGGGTACAGCTATAGGTCTGTGTGTCATCCCGTGGTGTAAGAAAGCACTTTTGTTGACAGCAATGATGTCTGTCATTGGCTCTGCAATGGGAGTCCTAGATACAGGTAAAAAATCCCAGCTATCAGTGTACTACTACTGCATCCATGTATGTGCTGTTCAGTGTGTTAGCTCTTCAGCTTTTAGGCACGGTTCTCTGTCCTCTCTCTCTTGAATGTAATTACTTTGGGTCTGAGCAGATTTGTGTGCACAGAGGGATGCATTTCCAGACTAGCTGCGTATATTGAAGTGAAAAGGGCATCCTTTGCTAGCAGGAACTGCTAGCAGCACGGGAGCTGCCACCCCTAGCACAATTGGATCAGGGCCATTTTGTAAAATAAGAATACAAACATGGCAAAGTTAAACTCTTTTGTGTCTGTCAATCTCCATGGGAAGGTTAGAATACTATCATATGGCTGATTGTTTATAAGCAGATGGTCATCATCAGTCCTCTTTTCAGTTCCCAGAATTCTGAATCATGATAAAATCCATGTACCTGGACCTCAAAGAAATTAATTTGGTGTTAACTGGTGTAGGTACTGTTGAGTAACCCCCCCAAAAATATATATAGTCACATAGTGAAATGGAATGCACCCGAGTGCCTCATTGATTCTTAGTGGGAGAAATAAATCTGATCATCTGGTCCAAATCTATGGTATTGAAAAGTTAGAAGAGGAGGAGGAGATTGGATTTATATCCATCCTTCACTCGAAGTCTCAGAGTGACTTACAAACTCCTTTCCCTTCCCCTCCCCACAATAGACACCCTGTGAGGTAGGTGGGGCTGAGAGAGCTCTGAGAGAATCTGCTCTTTCAAGAACAGCTCTAACAGAACTATGGCTTGCCCAGCAGCTCTGTGTGGAGGAGTGGCGAATCAAACGCTGTTCTCCCAGGTTAGAGTCTGCACACTTAACCACTACAGCAAACTGGCTTTAAATTAGTCTCGATAGTTTATTAAACACACACCTGTATTGTGATTGCTACAGTAAAAGAATCTTTGTAGATGAAACATTTGAGTATGATGTGAGTAGAAGAGAAGGGAAAGGATAGTAGAGGGAGCTAGATAATGAGTTTTGATTTTATTGTTGGAAGAGGAAAGTCCTATAGATGAAACACAGATGGTGTGCTTAGGAAGGAGGTGTACATGGCCTTTTGACTGGGAAAGCATTCTTTACTTAGCTAGGAAGATGGCAGGTAACAAATAGGAGACTGAACTGCTCTGCTGCATAAGAGTGTAAATGAAGAAGTGGTCTAGGACTGGGGACAGAAGAAAAAATAGTTGGTTGGGAGAACACTGCAACCTATTTTCATAGTGAACGTGGTCTACAGGTAAAGGTCAAAGAAGCAGGTAAGGGACAGGAGATATCACTGGCTGAATGTTGAAATTGCTAAAGAGAGTGTTTAGAATTTTGCTGGAAAGAAAATGAAGCCAAGTGCCAAGGCCTGAGATGGAAGTTGAATGGGGGGGTGGGGTGGCAGGGGGGCAATATGAGGGGTAGAGGTGGAAATAACACTGTACAGGAAATGAACTTCAGAGGGTGGCTGGCAGGGGCTGTAACTGTCAGGATTTGACATGGTAATAGCCAGTGCTGCTAGGGTTGCCAGCTACTCCCTGGCCATTGGTGAGGCGGGGAGGGGTTGCTAGCTCCAGGTTGGGAAACTCCTGGGGGTTTGGGAATGGACCCTGGAGCAGAAAAGGACCTCAGTGGCATGCGATGTCAAAGAGTCCAACCTCCCAAGCATCCATTTTCTCCAAGGGAAGTGATCTCTGTAGCCTGGAGATGAGCAGTAATTCCGGGAGATTCCCAGGCCCCAGTTGGAGGCTGGCATCCCTAAATGCTGCTGTGTTGCCCTTTGGAGTGAGATGTGTAGGATGTGCAGGATGTGACCCAGAATTTGGTAAGGACAAGTAACTGAAAGGAGGTGAATAAATGACTTTCTGAGTGAGGGGTTAGGAGTTCTGGTGTTACCATGTTTGGGTGAGAAGTATTTTGCTTGCACCCATATGAATTTAGCTTGTTGTACAGTTGGGTTCAGATTTACTCTGGGACAGCAAAGTGTGAGAAAAAAGAAACCTTTTCAGTCACATCTCACACCTGTTCTGAAGGAGCTGCAGGTTTAGGTTTTGGCACTTAAGGATGTGTGTTTGTTAGAGACACAATTCCTTAAAGGATCCCTCCTCAGGGATGTTCACTTTTCTTAGAAGGCATGTGATAGGACAGCGGGGAATTATTCCAAGCCGATTTTGCCTGAGCTCAAATATTTGGAACAATAATTCAAAAGCTTTCAATACTTATGAGTAAATCTTTTTCAATAAGAAAATGTCTACAGAACTTTACCACAATTAACATTGTAGTTACTGTACTGAATGTTATGGAAATAATTTTTAAGCTCTGTAGTTTAAATAAAATATGCTTTCTGAACTCGGCTTTAACTTGGCTTTATTCTACATCATTGGTATTTATGGATGAAATCGACTTAAGAACCCGGCTACATCTTCTGCTCCCTCTGGCTGAGTGACCTTTTCCCTCTGTTGACCATTCTGAAGGCTCCCTTAGTGACAGGCGGAGGGAGTTGAAGGGGTTCTTGGCAAGAGGCATGGGGAAGGTGGAGCTACAGGCCCATCCACAGTTTCTTTGCATCTCTGTCTCCTTATTGGCTAGTATTCTCTGGGAACTGGGAGGGAAAGAATAGGGGAAATGAGCTGCTAAGGAGAAAAGAGAAAGAGCTTAGCCAGTGGCAGCTATTTCTCTGTGTTTAACTCAGCTGTCTTCTCCAGCTTTCTGCACGTAAGTATGCCAGAAGCTTCAGGTTTTTCCAGCAGAGACAGATGACTCTTGCATAGTGACATGTATGAGATCTAAGAAACTATTCTGTGCTTGAGAGTTTGACCCTGCCTCTTTTTCTTTCCTTTGCAGGTGGCAACGTTCTTGCCTTGGCCACATGGAAGGAAGAGGTTGGTCCTCATATGCAGGCCTTACACTTCAGTTTTGCCCTGGGTGCCTTTGTGGCTCCCATCCTGGCCAAGATGGCACTGAGCGGCTCTCCCACAGATCCTGACGTCCGTCTAAACAGCAGTGCTGACAATCAGACTTCTTTTAATTCAAATTCTGCTGCTCTTTTGGGGCCGAAGCTGCATTTAAACATGAACTTTGTGTGGACGTATGTTGTTATAGGCTCTTATCTCTTTGTTGTTGCATTGATTTTCCTTATCTTATACTTGAAGAGAAGTCATGTTCGAGACAGAACAAAGCTTTCTGTGCAGAAATACCAGTCCACCAAATATCATTATGCCCTCGTAATTCTGCTTTCCATATTTTTTTTCTGCTACGTAGGAGCAGAAGTAACTTATGGTTCCTATATTTTTACATATGCAAAAAACTTCATTAATATGAAAGAGAGTGAAGCAGCTGGTTTGAACTCTTTATTTTGGGGAGCTTTTGCAGCTTGCAGGGGACTGGCAATCTGTTGTGCCACCTGCTCCTACCCTGGAACTATGATCTTGCTGAGTATCATAGGCACTACTGTATCCTCTTTGTTCCTGGCACTGTTCAGTACACACCCATTCTCCCTTTGGCTTGGCTCTGCAGTGTATGGTGCTTCAATGGCTACTATCTTCCCCAGTGGCATTTCCTGGCTTGAACAGTATACCACCATCGAAGGGAAAGCTGCATCCATGTTTGTGATTGGGGCTGCTTTGGGGGGAATGTGCACTCCTGCAGTGGGCTTATGTATACTTCTGTGGGAGCAGCGGTCATGACAGCAGTGCTGTTTCCTGTGATGTATAAATTAGCCACATCATCCATTGATGCGAAGCTAAACGATCCTGGAGACAGTGAAGTCCAGGAAGCCTTGTTGTCTAGCTCTCATCTTGAGGAAGATGAAGATGGCAGAGAATGGAATGAAGTAGACTTTGAAGTAATTGAGATGAATGTCACTCTGAAGAACTCCGTCATAGAAACATCCAAGAAGATCCAAGGGGAGTCTTCTGCTGCCAGTTCTGGCCATCCTTCTTTAGGAAACACAGCATTTAATTCTTCTCCTGTGCTTGAGGTCAGCACCCCGAGTCTAAAGAATTCCAGTACAGACTGGGATAAAAATGATTAAGGTGGTCTCATACAAAATAAGAATTTTAGTAGGAACTTCATTCTAAAAAGTTTCAACAAGTTATGGTAAACTTGCCAAATCTCAGTTAAGGTTCTTGGTTGTGTGTGAAAGCAAGTACCAAAGAGTAATTATGCAATGGAGGGCATTATATGGCAAAATGCAGGGTTTCGCAATGTTTCCTGAATGTCACATTTAAATTAAAATGCAGGGAACTTTGAAAACATCACAGTTGTCATTTTATAGGCAGTTTTATATGCAGACCTCATTGCAGGCTTTTTGCTCTATGGCAACCAGAGCAACCTTTACTAAGTAAGCATCACACCATAGTTTAAATCAGAGTTATGGCTATGATAGGTTTAAGAACATTGGGAAGGGTGTTCCTAAGACACTGAGTGCCATTTTTATCAAAATATAGTTGCTGAGATGAACTGAACAACAATCTCTGAGAAAAAGTTCCTTTATTTAAAAAGTTCTTGTGGTTTGAAAAAACTGCCTTGCTATTACATTTCAGAAGTATTGCCTTTTGAAACTACTTGATTCTTGCTAGCCTAGGCCATTCTTGCTGTATAATTGCTGTATGAAATGTTTAGAATCAACAGCATTTATGGTACTGCTTCAAGGCTGAATCACAAAGGTCTGTTGTTTAACCAAGGCAGCCTTCATTATTTATTTCAGTGGTACCTTCTGTGGGGGCAAGAGGAGCCTGTATGTGTATCATTCCTCCTTTAAGGGGGGGGGGGACGGGACACTGTTTTGTTTCTTGCCCAAAAGTCCATATTATTTTCTTATTGTCTGCCAGCACAGTGTGATAGTGCTATGCTAGGCTGTACTAGAAGGGAAGTGCCATAAATTGCTGCAGGGAAATGTCATGGCTTCCTCTCCACAGGATACTCTTTTCACTGTCTGTCGTTTAGCAGTCAGGGAGTATTCTTGATAAAAGATGCAGAATGTGGAGGGTTTTTTTAAAAAACGTAGAAGGATGGGAGTGCACTTCCACATGCTTGTAGTACAAACTCTAATGTTGTAGCCATTTCTGTTGAATAGCATAAGCTTCAACAACTTTTGTAAGTGAACAAGTTTTGGAGATGGAGGGCCACCTTGATGCCCTAGAACCAATAAGGAAAAAACATGCAATTTACATTTGCTTGTGTATTCTTTTAATCAAATGAATGTGAACCAAAGGGGTTTGTTGCTTTGAAGTGGGAGCTCTTTGTCCTTGCTGTGAAACGAAAAACTTGCATGAAACATTGAGAGAAACTAGTGCTGAGGCCAGTAGAGAGATACGTGGTAACGTTGAGGGGTTGGGATGTACAGGGAAGTGAATTGGGGTGGGGGTGGAAAAGGGTTATGCATAAGCTGCCCCTATGCAGATATGCTCTGTTGCTTCTGTAATCACAGCAACACTACTAGGTAAGTGACCTTAAATTTAAATGGCAAGATACTGTGGAACTTTGTTGAGACATATTGGAGGAATTGCAGTTTGTAAGACAAGCATTACTTTTTGCTGGAAAGTACTGTCAAATTAATATAAAGAACCTACCTCATGAGGATGTTTTGAAAATAGAGTAAAGCGTTTTGGTGTTAAAAAGCTGGTGAAATATCAAACTTTTAAACATGAGGATACATTTGTACAATTATGTGCTTAAAAATTAAAACATTTTACAGTGGCTAGATCTGTAAAGAGCAGTGTCTAGTCTACATATAGTAAAGTTCAGTTCGAATGAACGTCTAGAATTTTAGTACTGATTGCTGGAATGCACCATGACTCTTGATTTGATGTATTGGAGCCTAGGCTTAGTTTTGCTCACACAAGCAGTACTTTTACTTACATTAGGCTGTTGCTGATTCCCCCCCTCCCCCCGCACAGTGCCTCCCTTTCTCCCTAGGGTCTGCTATGAACCCCACAAGTAGAGTATAGCAGGCTGCGATGTGAAAGGGGAGGTGGGCAGTGCTCCCTGTAAGCTGCGGAGTCTTGTGAGCAAAAATTCTACTTTGTGAGCTTCTGGCATTAAAACTGTGAGCCAGCGATTTGGCTGCTGCATAAAATTAGTTTGCTCTGGAGCCATCCTTCCTGCGCCCAGACAGAAATATGTGCGCCGGAGGCTAAAAATCTGTGAGCTAGCTCACACTAACTCAGCTTAGAGGGAACACTGGACGTGGGAAGGTTCTCTTCTGTGAGCTGCTCTTATAGTACGTAGGATCTGTCCCCCTCGATCCAAAGAGACATTTTAGAGACCACAAGGTCGTAGCTGTGCTCAGTGAAACTGCTCACTCCCCCCCACCTTTTAATGGCAAATGCCAACATAATCACAAACTGGTGTTCCCGTTATCAAAAGTAGGTTGCAGTGCAGCATGGGAAACGGCTGCTGGAGACATGTATTGGGAACTCGTTTAGATATGTTGAATTACTTCTTTGGGTTCAGGCCAAAGTACTTTAGATGTTGGCCATTTAATTCAGGAGCATTTTAATTGAAAAGTTCTGATGGGAGTAAAACCAGGATCTTGATAATGGTATTATGTCACTACCAACTTAGCAATAACCTCAAGTTTCGTACTGAGCTACTTTCATTGTACGTATCCTAGTTTTGAGGATTACTCTTCCTGCATGGTATGTAAGTGTAAATACTGCAATTATAAATTCTGTTTATCTTAGGAAATTTGCTTCTCCCTCCAGTGAAAATGTATGCCTGGTATTTGCAGTTTGTTTTGTAACAACGTTAACTGTGGGATTATAAAGCAGGTCACAGCTCTGCACTTTGATTTTTGATAGCATAATTTAATAGTAGTAAATGTGACTTGCCTTAAATGTAACAGCAGTTATTTGGGTATAACTTGTGTGTCTGTTTTTAGGGGTTTCTTCAGTGACATGGTGGCTTCATAATGTACCTGCAGATAGTGGTCATACTGCTTGTGTTTCCAGGGGCTGCAGGAAAAGTTATTTTATTGAATTAAAAATAATACTACTGAGAACTTTATTTTATTTATTTAAAACATTTATTAGCTGCCTTCCTTACAGAGCTCAAGGCAGCTTACAACATAGATAAAACACTTTTAAGACAACTGGTAAATTGGACAGTGCTAGGAAGCTCCCTATCTCCACGGGAGGCAAGAAAGGAACGGAGGGTAGGGTGCACTGCTTCTCCGGAGCATGCGATGGTTTAAGTGTGTAAAAAGTCACAATTGCTCTGGAGGTGGGAGGGGCACCCCCCTCAGATTCAATGGAGCTAGAAACTAATATCCGTGGTTGGCCTGCATATGCACATTCCAATCTGGGACTGCACAAAAGATGGAAGATGAACACCTGGAATAGGTCTGAGTCACTTCCAACCAAAAGTAGAATAAACATCAGATACAATGCATAAGGAAAGGGCATAGTGGGGCAAATTCCCAGTTGTAAGAGTTGGGGATTTCTGATCCGTTAGCAGCTATATTGAGTTGTTGGTGATGGGAAGTGCTGCAGGTCACAGCCAACTTATGGTAACAGGGTTTTCAAGGCAAGAGAGCCAGTTTGGTGTAGTGGTTAAGTGTGTGGTTTGATTCCCCACTCCTCCACTTGCAGCAGCTGGATGACCTTGGGCAAGCCATAGCTGTCAGAGGTGTTCTCTCAAGGACAGTTCTGGAAAGAGCTCTCTCAGCCCACCTACCTCACAGGGTGTCTATTGTGGGGAGGAGAAGGGAAAGGAGTATGTAAGCCACTCTGAGTGAAGGGCAGGGTATAAATCCAATCTCCTCTTCCTCCTCCACTTCTGTGGTTTGCTATTGCCTGCCTCTGTGTAGTGATCCTGGACTTCCTTGGTGGTCTTTCCAAATCCTGAATTTGTGGATTAATTTTATTTCCTTTGGGTCCTACCTGCAAACATACAAAGTCTTAAAACTGAATTTCATACAAATTTATGAAAGGCTGATTTCCTGTGTAAAGAAAGAGCTGTGTGGAAAACCAAACTGTCAGTTGTGTAATACACTATGACATTACATGCCTTTATATTATAATTTGATACTGGGGATAGAAACTAGTGAGCCACTTTTATTAATAAAAATTATTTAAAACATTTTAAGTCACCTATCTACTCACGTTAAGGTCCCTAAGATGGTGAACAATGGAAATAAAACAAGGTTAAAAACAAAAAACATGCAAAACAACTAAAACAAAACCCAAATACGAACAAGAGGAAGCATCAATGACAATCGGGGAACACCAAACAAAACAAAAGTCTTTACTTGTCTTATCACTGAAACTGGCTCAGTACACTAATTATTAATTACTATTGACAACTGCATGGGTATTTATTTTCCACCTTATGGAAAACAACAGTCTATAATGGTTTAAAGCCCTGATTAAAACCAACTCACCCTGCTCACCTTGCCTTCCTAGACTGTAGAACTCGGCATTGTCCCATTCCTATCTGCTAGAGTGCACGTCTTTTCCTTCAGAAAAGGAAGAGACACTAGAGGTCATATAGCAAATTTACATTGGTTACTGGAGCTTGAGAAAGAATTTCAGAAGAAAATAAGTTTGTGACTGATACATTATAGTAAAGCTTTTAACTGTGTGTATCATTAAAACCTATGGTTGGTTTTAAAAGAAATGAGTGTGATGTTAGCTAGCAGTCAGACCCCTCTCGCAGTGGGGCAGTTTGTAGCTCATAGAGGGCAGAAACACTTCTCCATACATTACCCCAATATCTTAATGTATGGCACTGCTTGGGCTAAGGTTGCCAGGTCTTTACCTTGCACCAGTGTGGGGGTGGGGGGAAGCTTTACAGGAGCGGGGGGGCAGGGCAATATCACTGTGCATGACATCCCCAAAATAATGTCACACGGGAGTGATGTCACACTGGGGATGTCGCACAGCGATGTTCTGATTTTGGGGCAAACTGTGGTAAAATTAAGTTCAAACCATAGAGTTTTGCCCAAAAACTAGAGTTTTCACCGAATGATGTCCCTGGCGTGAGGATGTCACTTCTGTTTGATGCCATCACATCAGGGACATCGCACAGGGTTGTAGCTGTTGGGGGCAGGGCTTCCTCCTGCCAGCCAGCTGGTTGGCAGGAGACCACAAAATTGGGGGATCCCCTACTCCCACCTGGGAACCCTAGCTTGGGCCCAAATGGACCTAAAATGGATGTCAGTCAGGAACAAGCTTGGGCAAGTAGCTTAGAAGTGTAAGAGCAGCTGACTAAGTATGGGACAATGGGTCCATCACGGTCTATTGACTCACCTTGGACTAATCAAGTCCAGCCTTACTTCCTCTGCACCCACTTACCCTAATTAAAGCACCACTTAATCAAATCTTAATTCTGTTCACCAAACCCATTAGCTTTCCTGTCCACTACTTGCAGGGTCATCAAACTTTTCTCACACGTTTGGTCCACCTTAGAATAATCCATCAAGTTATTGTTTTTTTGGGCAAATACATCAGCTTCCCCGAGGATGCATTTTGTCCTTTATGAAGAGCACTCAGCCACTGGTGGTGTGTGTGTGTGTGTCTTGGACCCTCTGCGCACACACCCCTTTGTTGGGCTCTCTTCTTTACACAAAACTGGCCTTTTCTTGAGACTGGTAATTATCACCCTTCCCTAAGATTCATCTTCCTTTTCCTTCCTGTGTTCCTCTTAGTTAGCTCTTGTATGTGTGTTTGTGTGAATTTTGTTGTATTCTTTTTTTAACAAAAACCTTTCTGATTGAATATCTGCCTGGTTTATTTAGAGAGTTCTCTTAAGGAAAAAATCCCTGTAAATATAGGTGGAGAATCTTAGTTACCCCCTCTCGCTCTGTCTCCTTAAAGCTAATTTCCCCAACTAAATTAGGTGACTGCCTATTTGAGTAACAGTGGAACACATCTGATTGTTTTGTTTTTATAACTTTTTAAAATTGCATTTTGGCTACATACTACATAGGGCAGGGAACATGGAAACACTAACTAAAACATACAGCTAAACAGGGATCTGGTACAATACAAATTGCTTATTTCAAAATTTCCCTTAGCTTTAACATTCTAGAAGATGAAGAGTGAGATTAACTGTTTCAAATATATTTCAGTACAAACCATGTTAGCCAAATAAGTGCACTCTGGTATATTAAACTTGATATTAAACTTTCAGAATTGATTTATTTTTAATTCTTTCCCCCCTTAGGCTTATCTTTATCATAGTCCCATCTGACTTTAAGAAGTATGGGGGCGGCTTCTCCCATATCAGATTCAGAGTCTTCTCCTGGGGAGCTGCCCGCTGTATTACTACTGCTTCCTGATCTACTTCCGCTGTCCTCTTCTTCTGCATTGTTGTCCTCCACTTTTCCTTTCTCTTTCTCTGTTTTTTGATGCTGCTCCAAAAATGCTTTAGCTTTAGCAACAAAGTCTATTTTTTCTTTTTTCTCTCTTTGAAGTTGAAGATAGATCTCTCTGGCAAAATCCATCTGTAGTGAGTGGAATTTTTCTGTAAAAAAGTTGTCAATTTTTTATATTGTTGTCTCTTCTTTCTTATCTCAAATGGAATGTCTTTTAAAATTCTCATTTCTTCGCCTTTGATTTTTAGAGTAATTCCATTAGTCACTTTAAGTTTAACATCTCTGGTAGACCTCTTGGAGAATTTCACAAATATTTCATCGGGTAGCTTATTTTTCTTGATGTAGTCCGATAGACCACATCCATCTCGCTTTGTATAAATTCCGCTTTAAGGTCTACTACCTGTGCCAGGGCATCGCTTAAAATCTCCTTGAGGTTTTCCCCTTTTTGTTCCAGGATACCTTCAAATCTCAGGATATATAATGATTTTTCCATTTGTAGTTGTAACAGCTGTTGTTTATCAGCAACTATCTCTTTTTCCACTGCCTCCAGTCTCTGATTCAATGCTTTTGTCTTAGCATCAACTTTTCTCAAAGACTTTGCTGTGTTCTCTGTTTTTATATTGATTTCTTTTAGCTGTTTTTGGAGAGTCTCAAAATTGTTATTAAGATGGGTCATCTGGTCCAGTAGAGGGCATAATG